CACGCACAGCCCACCATGCACAAACGCACTGTCCGTGTAGAACACCGTGCCAGGACACGCGTCCTGCAGGCCGCGCAACGAGCCCACGCGATCGGCCGCATCGGTGTCAGCACAGGCAAGCCTGAGCGTACCACAACACACTGGCCTGGTGCGGTGGGTGCCGGGATCCACTGCCACAATCGCCCACGCAAGCGCGTGTGAGGGTCCCGAAAATTGCTGGCCCATCCAGAACCCGTGAATAGGGACATGGCCTCCCATCTCTTCGGGGCCCCCCCTCGAACCACCTGGACGGGGTCACAGGAGAGGGAGGGAGCACAGCAAGCGGCACGGGCAATCTCTCGGCAAGGAGACGGGGGAGGAGGTCAGCGGAGGCACGCACGAGACTGGCAACGAAATCGGGCGGCCTGTGGTCTGGCAGCACTACTTCGTGGCGACCACGGGCGGCGTGCCCATGGAGCCGCTGCAGGCCGCACGCAGGATCGCACAAGGGTTTGGTCGAAAGCATGAGCATGAGAGAAACGCGTGTTTCCGCAAGGCTGAATGACTGCACGTGCGCTTGCATCGTACGCGCCTCTCGCAAAGCAGCGCTGCTGGAGCCGTACACCAGGGCCCCCATATCTGACGGAGGTCAAGACAGCTGCCTGCAGCATAGTATGCATCCGAGCCTGCTTGCTACGCTTGACGAAACGCAAAAGCTTGCAGGCCCGTGCTCGCGCTGAGCCACGACGCCCTCGCCTGGTCTTGCACGGAAGGACAGCAGCAGAAGAAAGTTCGATGCCCAGGTTGCGCTCACCACTGGCGCCCTGGACCTGAAACCGAGAGAGGCTCTGCAGCAGCTGAGCTCTGAGCGTGATGGGCGACGCCACGGCGCGACTCTTGCGACGCGCGACGGGCAGGTGCAGGCTCAGAAGCTCATTGTGCAGCATCTTAGCGGCGCCAACCAGATATCTGTGAGCAGGTCCCGCGGCCTCCCCACTGGGATGCCCGAAGTCGCCCACGGCGACACCAAGCAGAACCAGCCGGTGGCGCTCTAGAACCTTGTCCACAGGTCCGAGCAGCAGCATCTGCAACATCACGGTGGCAAAGCGACAGCCTGGCAACATAGCCTGCAGCGTGGCGATAGGCGATGAAACCGCATCATCCAAAGCGAGGACCCCGGGGGCCCGATAGAGGTCGACTAACAGCTTCAACTGACGAAGCTGAAATCCAGACTGAATCGCCGCACGCAGGAGCTCATTGTGGCGAATGTGTCCGAAAGCCTCCTGCAGATCTAGAAGAATGAGCCCGCTGGAGAAACCTCGCTCGCGCGCCCATTCGGAGCGCGCAGCCTGAATCCAGACGAGCTTGTCACTGCTGCGGCCGTTGGTGGCCCACCAGTACGGGCGCGGATGATTTGCCTGCCAGCTTGCAACCAGCTGACTGCGCAGCCTGCCCTGCTCATGGGCCAAGATGTGCTGCAAGATGTGAACGAGGGCGATCGGGCGAAGTCCGCCCTCGCGTTTGGCCAGAAAAACTATCTTGGCGCACGCCAAGGGCCACTCGCACAGACGCTCCACATCACCAATGATCTCGCGGAAGGCCTGCAAGGCCTAATCCGAAAGCGCCAAAAGCTGCCGAGGAGAAATCCGGTCGATCCCGCAACCAGAGTTTTTCGGGGGTGCCGCGACAGAGCTTGGGCGAGTCGCAACGCGTTGGAGCGCAGAGGCGGGGGTCGCCAGGCCCGCGGCCCGTCAATGCATGCGGTTAGCAGGCGCCACCACAGCGCCGCAGAGCTCAACCGAGGGAAGGGAAGGTCCTTTCCAAGGGGGGCCTTCTCGACTCCAAAGCGCGGGCCCTCAGATCTGCCGAAGCATTCAGAGTCGCGCTGCACGTCGAGGCCATAGACGCCGGCCCAATCGCGCCCCGCCTCGTCGAGCCAGAGTCGCCACTTGGCGTCCAGCTGCAGATCATCTGCCGGGGGCGGCAGTCAGTCCAATGCATCTCTTGGCCCGCGCGACGACATCCAATGGGCAAGTCAACTGGCAACCTCTCCGGCACCTTGGCGACCATGCATCAGAGCTCGGCCGCGACAGATGGCCGCAGCGCTAGGGCCACGGGGCAGCGAGGCGCGGCGCCGCCGCCCACAAGCACCTCGGCTAGCGCCCCGTAGCGCGGGCAGCGCGAGACCACGAAGAAATCGATGCACCTGCCTGCGCCCAAGGAACTGTTCGCGCGCGGCGCACGTCGGGGCTACGCGTACCGCATCGAGCGCCCCGGGCCACTCGGGCCCAACCAATCTGAAAATCACCACACATCACACATGGCGGCGCCAGACGCTTCAGAGCATCTCCAAGATCGGCGAGTATTTTCCAGTTTTGTGGTCCGAGCCCCTGGCTGCGATGAAGGTCAACGCTGGCCAAGGCAAACCCTTGGGACGTTAGGCCTGAGAAATGCAGAATGCGAGCACAACCTGCCGCAGTGACACTAGGGACGAGTTCAAACTGACGGAGCCCAGCAGCGGCACGCACCATATGCAACAAACCGCCAGAGGTACCACCACGGCATGCACTTGATGCGCGTGCACCACGGCATTCCATCCACACTTGGCATTGCGGCAAGCCCCGCTCCCCATGCTACAATTTTGGAGGCGTCAAGATGATGCTCCTGCACAGCAATAGCCTGTGCTGCAAGCACACTAGGATGCTTCGGAACGGCTTCGAGCACACCAATACCGGTGACGTTACTGGCGATGATGCTGAGGGCGCGCGCAGCAGTGGGGCTACCCAGGCGGCTCCTCGTCATCCAGTTTGGCCTTCTCCTGTTTGGCTTGATTGAGAATGGAATCGAAGACACCCTGCACGAGCTCGTGTTTGACGCCATGCCTCTCGGCAAGCTTGGCGGCCTCAGGCTGAGCGCCACCAGCCTCCACGGACTCGTCTGAGGCTGCGGCTGTCTGCGTCTGGCACCATTGAAGGAGCTCATTGCAGGCTGCGTCGGCGCGCTGTTCGGTGGCGGCAGCATCGGCAGCAGCCCTTGCCGCGGCGGCGGCGGCTGCCGCAGGCGGCCCCCCGGGGGCAGGCGCCGCGCAGCGTGGGGCCGCTGGCCTTCGCCGCCCACGGGCACGTCATCGCCACGAGCAGGAGCAGCACCAGGCGCGGCCCGTGCAAGGACAGCCTCGAGCGCCGGCATGAACCCCTTGCAGCTGCTCGGCGAACTGCTGCCAGCGATGGCCCTCGGCAGCGGCGGCGGCCAGAGCCGCGAGCTGCTGGACTGGGCCACCCTCGACGACCGCGGCCGAGCCCATCTCGGCGCGGGCCTCGGCCGCTCGAGCCGCGGCCCCCCTGCGCTTCTCGCCGAGGTCGTCGAGCTCGCCCCTGAGCTCGGCTGCCCGAGCAGCGGCCCGCTCCGACTGCTCGAGGGCCTCGCCGCAGGCCCGCTGCGCCTCGTCCCGCGCGGCCTCGGCAGACGCAGCAGGCTCGCCTTGGAGGGGCGCCCGACATCCAGGCACGCGCGCGACCTGCCTCGGCCGCCGGGCGGCGGAAGTCGCCCGCGCCAAGCTCCGCGTAGACGCCGAGGGGCCCCTCATCCAAAACATGTTCCATAGCTGCCCCGGGTGGACCCTTGGCCCGCGCACCCAGCTGCCTGCTGCCACCCCCTCGGACAACCTTGGGCGCGTTGGCGGGCGCGGGCCCCCCGCAGATCCGGCAGGCAGAGCACGAGAGGCAATTGCACTGGCGGCCGCATTTCTTGTCGCAGCACGCCTAAGTCTCGAAGCCATCGAGGGGCATTCCGAGACAAGAGAAGACAAGAGACATGCCGTAATCAGCGCGCGAATGCGGGATGAAACCGCAGTACTTCACGAGGATCGAGCTGGAGGCGTTGCTTCCGTGAGCAGATAGGGGCCGCCGATCCCCTGTGCCAAAACACGCTCGCTCCCAGAGCCACCGCTACGCACTTGAGCCAAAATGGCTACGGACCTCCTCCTCCTCCTCCTCCTCCTCCTCCTCCTCCTCCTCCTCCTCCTCCTCCTCCTCCTCCGCCTCCTCCTCCTCATCCTCTTCCTCCTCCTCCCTCCTCCTCCTCCCTCCTTTCCCCAGAAGGCCTTAAAGTGTAAGACCAACAGAAGGTCCTGCCCTCCTCCTTCCTACTCCCCCTACTCCTCGTCCTCCTGGAGGGGAATTGTGCTCGCATGCACTAGTGGGAAAACAGTGTCAATGTAGCTTGGCAGGTCCACATCTTGGACGGACGTCCCCCCTGCCCCCGCTACCAGGCCATCCCTGGTCGTACCAAACGCCCGTCCACCCTTCCACTCAGGCTTGGCAATTGGTCTGGTACAGGCTCCGCGACTGGCATCACCTTCATACAAGTACAGCCTTCCTGAAGAGCATCTTGAGGCCACGAGTGGAACTCCCGACTAGCAGCTCGTAGTACGGCTGAGTAGATTTCAAGCGTGTCCTGCGATCTCTCAGCAGACCTTTCCATCTATTTGTTCCCTGCAGTGCATCACATAGCATACTTCGGTGAATACCAGAGGTGTTTCTTCTTGCCTTTCCGCTGCCTCTCTGCAACCCTAACGCCTCATCTTCTTCCTCCTCTGGGTGCCTTTCCGCACCATTGCGGCAGCTCCCTGATGCATGCCCAGCGCCTGACCAGCCCATCCTCCCCCGGCACCCCACTCCCTCCTGCGCTTCTTCAGGATGCTCCCTCTCCCTCTTCCATTCCACCTTGCCCCGATTTCCGGGCGGCCCCCCCAAACCGAGAAGGAGGAGGAGCAGCAGAAGCCGCAGGCCGAGTTGTTGAGTTTGGCTGTCGCCCCAGACCCCGGTCCCCGGGAGGCCTCCGGAGGCCCGACGAGGACCAAAACGTGCGAGAAAGTCTCTCGCCCTCGGGCCTCGAGGGCCGAGGGCAAAATTTAGCCGGCTGGGGCGGAGCCCGGCCCAACGCCCCCCCTCCGCGACCCTTTGGGCGGCCTGGGCGGCCCAAGGGTCGAGGCCCGTGGGCCAAGTGCTGCCCGGCGGGAGGTCCGCGGAGGTGCTCCAGGAGCTGGGCGTGCGCCCCAACAAGGACAGGGGGGGAAGATTCGGCAGCGCGAGCTGGGAGCTCCGTCCCTCCCGCCTCCCGCCTCGTCCTTCTCCTCCCTCCTCCTCCTCCGCCTCCTCCTCCTCCTCCTCCTCCTCCTCCGCCTCCTCCTCCTCCGCCTCCTCCTCCTCCTCCTTTTCCATTCCTTTTCTTCATAAATAATTTCTCCCTGTCGCACCCCGACACCAGTTTTTAGGGCGGGCTGGGCGTTTCGCCTGAGACTTCCTCACCATGACTCCGAAGCTTACAAATTGACAACAGTTTCACAGATGGACGGAGGGTGGGTTTTCAAAATGTGGTTCTCGCCTTAGCGCGGTGAACATTCGTTCTAAAGATCTGCAATGGCTTCACGGATTGAGGGCGGTTCCTTTTCAAAATGCGGTTCTCGGCTTAGCGCCGCGCACATTCGTTTACAACTTTCAGGAGTTTCGCGGATTCCCATTATCAACGTACAAAACATGGTGTTTTGGAAGGATTCAGGATTACGCGGGTGAAACAGTTACGTTGATTCTCTGTGTTGAAGTCCTACGAATGTCGTTTTTGTACGATTCAGGATCGTCAAGACGCAACAGTCAGGTTGATCCGTGGCGTTGAAATCCCGAAAACAATGTTCGGGCATGCTTCAGGGTCTTCAAGCGGGTGTCTTCCAACGAGGCAGTTCCCTCAATGGACATGAACTGTTGTAGGGGCCTATGAAGAGGGAGCTTGGAGGGATGGTTTACTCCAACATCGTTGATGACTCTTGGGTTGACACTGGTCCTCCCCCTTCTTCACCTCCTCCTCCTCCTTCATTTCCTCCTCCTCCTCCTCCTCCTCCTCCTCCTCCTCCTCCTCCTCCTCCTCCTCCTCCTCCTCCTCCTCCTCATCGGCGTTGGAGTTCAGACACCTTGAGCCCCGACGGAGGGAGGATTTTCATTGACACTCCCCACGCACACGACTTCCGGACTCTGACAGCCACACAGGTTGTTGTGCCCGGACCAGGGGAGGACAAGGAGAAAAACAGTCATAACAATCTCTGCAGCCCTTCCGATACCGCACCTCTTTGCGACCTTTCCCAGAGTGGTTGGGCCGTGAACCAGCCGCACCCTTGCCAGGATTGCAATGTGTGAACAGATGGTTGCTCAAGTCCAAGGAACGGACATCGAGGCGAACCGCAGCAAGGTACACGAGAGGAGAAGGCATACGGCAGCGGGGGAGTTGGTAGAGTTTGCTCGGTTCCCCCCTCCCCCTGCGTCCTGTGAGGCCCAGGGGGAAGAGCTGCCAGGGGAGTTTGCAGAGCCGCCTCGGCCCCCTTTCAGCGCCTGCGCCCACACGGGCCCAAGAGCAGCCCGCCTCAACTACTAGCGGATCCTCCAGGTTGGAAACGCTGCCGCAGGAGATCGAAAACCAGTTCCGCCAATGGAATCCGATTGGCCCTGCTTCGCATTCATTTGATCGCCGCCGAGCAAAACTGGAGGCAAGGCTGGACAGCCGTGGCCACCTGCTCCCCCCTGAAGGGGGCCTCTGCACTCGAGTCGCCTCGGGGGGACCCGAGTCGAAGCACTGCAGCGCCAGAAGCGCAGAGAGACCCTCGTGGCCGCGGCGCAGACGAAAGCAGGCGACAAAGAGGGAAGATGGAGGCCCCGAGGTTCGGAGGTCATTGGTTTTTGCCGATGCTGGACCTCGAAAAACCATGGACTCCCGAGGTGAGACGGACGAGACGGGGGTCTGGAAAGATGGAGGCCAAGCCAATGGAAATGTTGTCCCAGGAGATCGACTCGCTCGTTCGCCGGAGAGCGAAGGAGGTCTGGGAAGACGGAGGCCCCGAGGTTCAGAGGCCATCGACTGGTGCCGATGACGAACCTCAACGATGACCCTGGGATCGCAACGCTTCTGGGCTTCAGTTTTGCAGCGACCCATGAAGGAATCACTACGGGCGTCTTGCAAACACTGTGCACGGAAATGGGGATGTCAACTGGAGAACTTGTTTAAGTACTAGAACTCTTGCTTCACAAAGGGACTGTGCAGGTGCGGAGGAGGAGGAGAAGGACGAGAAAACTCAGGCAAAGGGGCTGGGCAATTTCCCAGCGGGAATTCCCTCTGACCTCTTAGTGGTCAAAGACAGCCGTTGAAGGGTTTGTCATCGAAGAGTGGACACAGAAGCGCAACGGACGAACTTTGGACGGCATCTATGACACTATGTGGAACAATGTTGGCCATATATTTGTCTTGCGGATGAATTGCGCACCAATTATCTTCCAGCGGCACAGTTCGCATTTTGCCGGAAGTGGAATTCGCTCTTTCAGAACGGAAAAGCATTGGAGCTCTTGCCGGCGTGGGAGACAAGTATACCACTGCTACCCCGCGAAGATTACGTTCTCTCTCAGAATGGGAAAGCCCAGGGGTTCAACTGAGCGCGTTTGGCGCGGAGGAGAATGCTGGATTAGCCTCGAAGGGAGAGCCGCGCGCACTAGCGAGGGCATCTCGGAGCGCAGGCAGGCCTTCTCGCCCAGCTTTCCCCCCTCTCGTCTCTTAGTCTCTCGTCCTCGGTCCTCTTTCTCCGCGGGACACACAGAGGCACACGGCTCGCGAATTAAAGAGGGGTTCAGGGAGCCCTCCTTCTCGCGCCGGCCCGCTCGCATGCGCCATTGGCAACGCAGTGCCAGCGAAGCCGCACCCATTGGTTTCATCGGAGAGCTATTGGCTGCTGATACAGGGCCCCCTGCGAACGGGCCGCACGCCAGCCCGCGGCGGAGGCGGGGGGAGGGGGGGGGTGGAGGGAAGGCCGCGTGATCCGCCCCTGCGCAAACCCTGGCACTCATTTCGATACGACGTCGCTGGGCTGTCGGGCCCTAGCTGTATACTACTCATTCAGGGGAACCTTTCTAGTCTTATAGCTGAAGTTGGACGACCACCCCCTTACGCGGATAGCCTCGCCTCGCCTCGCCTCCTCCCCCTCTTCCTCTTGCTTCTCCTGCTTCTCCTGCCCGCCTCATTTTCCCCTTCCATCCAAACGGGGCGAGACGGCAGCACATAACGCAGCAGATGGCGGGAGTGATGGAAGAAATGGACATGGGAATCCATGCAATGAGGAATCCTTGGTCAAATGTTGCGAGGGCCAAATTCCATGAAACCCGCCATCCTCATCATCATCCATATTATCATCCTCATTACCACCCCCATGTCATATTCATATTCGTCTTCATCTTCATTTTCACCACCATCACCATCACTATCATCATCCTCATCATCATCATGAGTATCGTCGTCGTCGTCCGTCATGGTCATGGTCATGGTCATGGCCATCGTCGTTCTCGCCGTCGTCCTCGACCTCGTCCTCGTTTTCATCGTCCTCGTCCTTGACGTCGTCATCTTCATCAAAATCACCACCACCAGCAGCAGCATCATCAGCATTACCATCATCATCGTCAGCATCACCATCGTCATCCTCATCCTCATCTTCACCACCACCACCACCACCACCATGACCATCATCATCATCATGATCACTGCCGTCATCGTCGTCATCATGGTCATGTGCATGATCATGGTCCTCGTCGTCGTCCTCGACCTCGTCGTCGTCCTCGTCGCCATTATCATCGTCCTTGACGTCGTCGTCGTCATTGTCGTCATCATCATCATCGTCATCGTCATCACCAGCATCATCATCAGCAGCAACATCACCATACTTATCATCATAATGGTCATCCGCATCATCATCATCAACATCATCATCAGCAGCAGCAGCAGCAGCAGCTTCATCATCACCATCAGCAGCATCATCATCATGTTCATCATCGTTCTGATCGTTAATCGCAGTCATGTTCGATGACGTTCCTGGCGGGGCACCTCCGCCCCATGAAGGTCAAAAAGCCCGCGCTGGTTCCGCTTCGGGGCCTCCTGTGAGAGCCTTGGCGCCTCGTGGGGCCTCGTGCGCTGGTGTTGGAGCGTACGTGGCCTTCCTGGAGACCTCCCTCTCGGGCCACAGTTCGATCCTCGAGCAACGGGAGGCTCAGAGCACACGGCCAGAATCCCCCGCGAGGGCTCGCGAGTTCAGGAAAACTGTCAGGCTCGCCGCTTCCGAAAGCACATGATGGCCCCCGTACCCGCCAGAGTCAACGCACCCCGCACGTCCACCGTAAGCTCTCCGCAGCGAGCACGAGGACATCCAGGAGCTACCCGGTGCCCACGCCTCCCCGCGGCTCGTGCCGCGCGCGCCCGCACGTCTCACAGGCGTCGGCCGAGCCCCGAGAGGATCGCGCCGCGAAGGCGTCGTGCCATGGTGCGGCGCGCCCCTCCCCCCCCCCTAAACCCTAAATTCTTGATCCTATAATTATTAAATCCTAATTACTGGACCCTCATGCCTCCCAACGTCCATCCAACTTCCTGGATCCAGCCTGCTATGGGGATCTTTACGACCCGCTATGTAAACCACCTACAATCCTATGCAAAAACATATTATTTCCTGATCGTGCGTGCTCCCAGGCGCACTCCTGGATCGAGCCTGCTATGGGGATCTTTACGACCCGCTATGTACACCACCCACACTCCTATGCAAAACACACTATTTCCTGATCATGCGTGCTCCCAGGCGCACTCCTGGATCGAGCCTGAAATTGGGATCTTTACGACCCGCTATGTAAACCACCCACACTCCTATGCAAAACACACTATTTCCTGATCATGCGTGCTCCCAGGCGCACTCCTGGATCGAGCCTGAAATTGGGGTGACCCGCTATGTAAACCACCCACAATCCTATGCAAAACATATTATTTCCTGATCATGCGTGCTCCCAGGCGCACTCCTGGATCGAGCCTGCTATGGGGATCTTTACGACCCGCTATGTAAACAACCGACAATTCTATGCAAAACATCTTATGTCCTGATCATGCCTGCTCCCAGGCGCACTCCTGGATCGAGCCTGCTATGGGGATTTGTACGACCCGCTATGTAAATCACCCACAATCCTATGCGCCCCTCTTATGTAAGCCCGCTCCGTCTACTGCAACAAATAGCATATTCTGCGCATGCGTGCAGAATCTCCTGTATTTTACAATACAAAGTGCCTTCCGTTGCGACCCGATCCACCGATTCTACCGACTAGCGTTTCCTGCGCATGCGTGCAGAACCTCTTCCGCCCGACCCGACTCGTCCCGCTTTACAGCACTCGCGTGCCAACTGGATCGCACATCCGTCGTCGCCGTCGTCGTTGTCCTCGTCGTCCACGCTGTATTCGATGCGGTTCTCGCGAGGGGAGAGATGATCTTTATGGTGGGGTGGCTTGCGGGTGGGATTGACGGCCACCGCAGGTGGGTTCGTGGGCAAGTTGTAATCGTGGCCAAGCCTGTTAGGCCCTAAACCTTAAACCCTAACCCTTAGGTCCCCCCCCCAGGATTGCGCTGACCCAGGAGCAAAACAAGACAGAGACATCGTAAGGTCCACGATGTCCAGCTGGCACGGGGCATCGGGGTCGTACGCCCCCCGCAGTCTGGTGGCCGCGGACGGGGCCAGGGCCGGTGGACGTGCGCAGTCCGTCGTTTACGTCATAAGTCCCCCCCGAGTAAGGACGCGCAGCTTCCCTCCTCGAGCCCGTCCATGGAGTCGTTCGCCGCCAGAGGGTCCACCGGGCCCGCGGCTGCGGCGCCGCCGCGGCCGCAGGTCAGCAGCTCCGAGCAGCCTGAGGACCTCAACCCGGCGTTCATCGTTGGCACGCTCGGGGCTCTCGGCGCCAGTTTATTCACATTCCTGGCGGCCGCCCTGAAGGTCATGATCTTCAGTTCTCTCCTCCTTCTCCTTCTTCTTGTGCTCCTCCTACTCCTCCTCTTCCTTCTCCTCGTGCCCCTCCTCCTCCTCCTCCTCCTCCTCCTCCTCCTCCTCCTCCTCCTCTTCCTCCTCCGCCTCCGTCTCCTCTTTCTCCTCGTGCCAGTTTGACATCGATGCGAGCAGAGTGCTTGCATGCGCCCTGCGGCTTCCCACTCAGATGTGACAATCATGCGACCTAGCCAGATGAAGCGAGTCAGTCAGTCAGTCCTCCTCCTCGTACTCCTTCTTACCCTCCTCCCTCCCCTTCCTCCTCCTCCTCCTCCTCCTCTTCTTCCTCCTCCTCCTCCTCCTCCTCCTCCTCATCCTTGGGTACGCTGGGGTCCTCCTCCTCCTCCCCCTCCTCATCCTGCTCCTGCTCCTCCTGCTCCTCCTCCTCCTCCTCCTCCTCCTCCTCCTCCTCCTCCTCCCCTCCTCCTCCACCTCCTCCTCCTCCTCCTCCTCCTCCTCCTCCTCCTCCTCCTCCTCCTCCTCCTCCTCCTCCTCATCCTCATCCTCCTCCTCCTCCCTCCAAGGTCATGGAGTCTGTGTGAGGTCCACGGGCGCCGTCAGCCGCCGTACCCGCTCAGGCGCGGCCTTTCGCGCGGTGCCATCGGGCACTGGTCCCTCTGGGCGCGGCCGGATGCACGGGGCCGGGGGCGGGCTTCGGGCGTGGCCAGAAGCGTCCTTGGCCCAGGGTGTCCTCGGGGTGGCCCAGGGGTTCGGGTGTTGCTAAAACCTGCACCTCCTGGATGGGGTCAGAATAGTGTGGGATCGAAGGATCGCGCCTCATCGCCGACGCATGGGCGATGCGGCTCGATGCGGAGCCCGATTTTCTCCGCGCCGACGTCGCCGATGCATCAGTGATACGTCGGCGATGCGACGCGATCCTCCGACCCCATAAACTCCGACAGCATCAGGAAAGCCTCTAGAGGAGGGTCCCTGGCCCAGGGCGTCCCAAGGATTTCCAAGGAGGCACCCACGGGTACCCGAGCTCATCTCATGAGGCCCCAGAGGACTCCAGCATGGGGCGGAACTCTGGGGGAACCCTGGGCCAGTGACTCCCTTAGCAATGCCCGAGGGCCACCGCCGCAGATCTCGCGGCGCCGCGCCGAGTCGGGTCGGACGGAAGGGGGGAGTGTGGGGAAAGGGGTGGTCTACGAGATCTGCCGCATGCCGCATGCAGCTGCTTTCGGTCCCGCCGCCGGACGCCTTTCCTCGCTGCATTGGCGCCTCTGGCGCCGGAGAGATCAGCTGCGCGAGTTACCCCTGGCAGCCCTACCTGTCCTCTCCCCTGTCGCCTCGTCGTTCGTTCCCCCGCCTGTGCTCGTGCCTTCGTCGTCGTGGTCTTCGCCCTCCGAATCCTGCGGGCCGGCGCGGGGCTATCCCTGAGCCGGCGACCGTCGCGTGGTACCCCCCCTCTCGTTGTGCCCCCCGTTCGTCCGACCCGAGGCAGGGGCGGGGGGTTCTGGCGGGCATCCGCCCCTCGGGCTAATCGAGCACTCCGCGCACATCTTCCCGAATTCGCTCGTTGGCCACGCAGTGAGTCCGAGGCAGGAATTTATACATGACCACCGCCTGGAGGGTCAGATTTCGGAGCCTCGGCAGGCGGTGGATATGGACATCTTCGGGCCCCCGGGGCCGAAATACATCCATGTCCACCGCCCGCTAGGGCACCAGGACGTCGGTTCCCAGACATCCGACGTCTCGGTTTTGTTCGAGACGCGGGCCCCCGACCTCCCGAACACTTCCCCAGGACCGGTTTTTCGTCCCGAGTCGTTTTTTGACGGTCCCGAGGCCCAGCGAGGGTCCCGAGAGGCCAAAAGCTATGAAAAACTTCTGTCTCGATTTTTTCGAGACGCCCGATGTCTGGGTTCCCAGGCGGTGGATCTGGATAGATCCCCGCCTCGCTGTGAGCGGCCCTCAATAATTTCTGGTTCCGTCCGAGCTGTGGGCTCGGCGGCGCGCCCCGTGGGGAGGCGGAGGGCGAGAGGGCGCCAGGCCCCCGCAGAGAGGCGGAAGTCCTCCGCCTTCAGAGAGGGCCTGCCCCCCTCTTAGGGAGGAGGAGAAGGAGGAGGAGGAGGAGGAGGAGGAGGAGAACGAGGAGGAAAGGAAGGACGAGGAGGAGGAGGAGGAGGAGGAGGACGAGTAGGAGGAGGAGGAGGAGGAGGAGGAGGAGGAGGAGGACGAGGAGGAGGAGGAGGAGGAGGCGCCAGCCCCCCTGGGCGCGCCGCCGACGGACGCTTCACTCGCGACATCGCGCTCGGCGGCGAGTTTTCGGTGTCGCCCGCCCGCGGGGCAGCACACGCGCACCCAGATTTGTACGAGGCACCGAGGCGGACCTCCCGAGGCTTTTCTGCGCCGTGGCGGCGCTGCCTGCTCCCGTCCCGGAAGAAACGAACTTCAGATTCTCCCGCCAACCCCTCTCGCGCAGTGCTTCGTCACATTTCTCTTGGCCCATGGTTCTGCGGCACATGGGGCTCTCTCGGCCAGACCCAGCTCAGGGCTTCAGGGAGGCCGTGTACGGAATCCGCTTCCAAGACCCGACCAGAGCATCTAGACAGGATCTCTCGCGATTGGTTCCCGGAGGCATAGGCGGTGCTGGTCGAATATCATTATTGTGAGGGCGGTAATCTTGGTAACCGTCCTCCTCCTCCTCCTCCTCATCCCCCTTCTCCTCTTTCTCTTCCTCCTCGCCCTCCTCCTCCTCCTCCTCCTCCTCCTCCTCCTCCTCCTCCTCCTCCTCCTCCTCCTCCTCCTCCTCCTCCTCCTCCTCCTCCTCACTCTCCTCCTACATGATCCCGCCGACGGCCTCTGCCTGTCCTCTCCCCACACTCCTTCTTTCCCTCCTCTTGCATCGCGTGGCTTCCTCTGCCCTCTCCTAAACGAAGATGTCTGACTCTATCCCTCTTTCCTTCTCCTTTTGCCCCCCCCTCATTATCCCCGTCCCCCACACACACACACACACACACACACACACACACACACACACACACAACACACACACACACACACACACACACACACACACACACACACACACACACACACACACACACACGCACACACACACACACACACACACTCACTGTGCCATACATTTGCCCTGCCGCCCCCTTCCTTTTCCATTCCCCTATACCCTTTAAAATCACCTACTCGCGAATTGCGCGTAGGCAGGATACAATGAGCGTTGCGTTCGCACACTGTCAGACCGCGATGCGATCGTGACACGTGCTTCAGTCCCCGGCATAGGTGCTTCAGTCCCCGACACGTGCTTCAGTCCCCGGCATGGGACTTTCAGAGATTCCTCAGCTGGTGCAACTCACATGCCGCCGTCCACTCTGTTCTCGTCACAAGGACGTTGTACTGGAGCAGCGGTCATGTCCAATACAATACGGGGTCGCACAGCCCCGTCGGGTCGCGGAGCTAACACGGGGTCACGACAGCCCTGTTGGGCTCCCAAGGGCTCCCCCCGAGTGCTCCCGAGAGAGGTCGCGCAGCATGCCCGCCAACACGGGTGTGTGATCGCCGCAAGTCGGCAACGCTACAGAATTGACGCGGCCACATCTCCCAGTCCACCCCCGCGGACGTCGCAGGGCACCCAGCTCGCACCCGTCTTAAGTCGGGCCTGTCCCTCTACAGGGGGAACATTCAAAAACAGTCAAAAAACAGTCTGGGGAGGATGTTTTGACTATTTGTTTCATTTGGGTGGGTATTTTTGAGCATGTTCTATTTATCGCCCAAAATCCCCCTATTTATGCATTTGCCCCTGCTGACACGATTATAATATATACAAGTGGCACGTGTGTGCCCAGGCTCATACAACAAGCTGAAGGGGCGTTTGAAGCAGGAGTGACATGCAACAGCGAAGTCGCACTCGAGCGCAAGTGGGGTTGCCACACCTTGCGATGTGTGTACCAGGGCCCCCCAGGAAGCCTCAGGAGGCCCGACTTGGATACCAGAAGAGGCTCCAGGAGGCCCCAGGATTGTGAGTGTTGTGTGTGTGTGATGTGTGCTTTGTGTGGTGCGTGCTTTTTGCGTGTTGTCGGTGTTGTGTGTGTGTATGTTATGTTTGTCTAGCGTGTGATGTGTTGGGCGTGATTTGTGTCTCTGTGTGTGCATGTAGTTCTGAAGCCCCAGGAGGCCCCAGGAGGCCCCAGGCGGCCTCAGCAGGCCCAGGAGAACTCCAGGAGGCTCCGAGGCGGGGTCTGGGGTACCAGAAGGTCCAGAAAGCCCCAGGAGGCCCCAGGAGGTTCCAGGAGGCCCCCAGGAGGCTCCGAGGAGGGGTCTGGGGCTCGATTTTGGGAGGATGTCTCAGGCGAAACCGCCATTCTCTGAGAATCGGAGTCAAAATCATTGAAATTACCATGTGTTTTTGAAGGTTTTATGATAAAATGTTGGAAATCCTATGTGTTTTTGGACCCTGACGTCACGATCTGCGTGAGGGGTGCCACCGATTTTCAGAATTTCGAGGATGTCCCGAGCGAAACGGCCAGAAAAATCGCGAACGACGGACGCATTAATCGCCTCTGAGCTTTACTCCCTCGGAGAGGTGCGTATGAGAATATATATATATATATATATATATATATATATATATATATATATATATACACATATATATAGGGGTCCCTGGAGGCCGGCACAGGGGACATACGCCGTGTCTCCAGCAGGCGCATGAGCAGTCAAGGCATGACACGAACGGTAACAGAGGGAGGCCGAGAATAGCGGGGGGGAAATTATCCTGGCGAAGGACCCAACCATATGCAATTGTGAATAACTCTTTGTGGGTGCCGCTTTCGGTGGGGCTCCCTATGGGGCCACGAAAGGCGTGCCACGAAACGTTGTCCTGGGCGTACGGGACGCATGCGGGCGGTAGCACTGGGGCCTTTGGTGGAGCTCCCTATGGAGCCACGAAACGTTGTCCTGGGCGTACGGGACGCATGCGGGCGGTAGCATTGGGGCCTTCGGTGGAGCTCCCTATGGGGCCACGAAACGCTGTCCTGGGCCCTCGGCGACGAAACGTGTGAGGGGTGTGCCGAAATGGGTGCGGTGCCGCCATGCCAACGCAGCCACTGGGGCTCTCGGTGGAGCTCCCTATGGGGCCACGAAACGTGTGAGGGGTGTGCCGAAATGGGCGCGGTGCCGCCATGCCAACGCAGCCACTGGGGCCCTCGGTGGAGCTCCCTATGGGGCCACGACACGTGCGAGGGGTGTGCTGTGATAGTGGGAGGAGGGAGGGGGCAGAGGGAGGAAGGAAGGAAGGAGTGAACGCGGAGCGCTGTCTCTTCAAAACGAGGACCCAACACCACAGGATGGTTGGGAAAAACATGTATGAGGACAGGCCCGACTTAACACCCGTCCAGACCACAGGCTGCCCGTGGCGGCCCTCTTCCAGAGGCTCTCGACCACGGGCTGCGCCAGTTGAGCAGCGCGCAGGCACATCCGACACTGCGCGGCCTGCACCCGCCCGCGCAGCCCATCGACAGGGCAGGCCACCTCCAAAAGAAACGAAAACAACACCAATGACTCACTGCGTGGAGCTCCCCATCTGTGAAAGAGCGTGTTCTACCGCTGCTGGCGGAAAACCGGGGGGGGTCACTACCAGTTCGAACCCCTCCCCCCCCCCCTCCAGAAAACCAGGGGGGGTCACTACCGGTTCGAACCCCTCCCCCCCCCCCCCCAGTTCATCATGAAAAGGGGGGGGGTCACTACCGGTTCGAACCCCCCCCCCCCCCCCCCTCGAAAACCGAGTGGGGGTGCGGACAGTGGTGGGGACGGTGTTGGTGGGGACAGTGGTGAGGGGACAGCGGGACAGTGGTGGGGACAGTGGGACAGTGGGACAGTGGTGGGGACGGTAGTGGTGGGGACAGTGGTGGGGACAATGGTGGGAACAGGGGGGACAGTGGACAGTGGTGGGGACGGTGGTGGTGGGGACAGTGGTGTGGGCACAGTGGGAATGAGGTGGAAACAGTGGGACAGTGGAGGGTACAATGGTGGTGGGGACAGTGGTGAAGGCGGTGGCGAGGACGGCGGTGGGACAATGGGACAGAGGTACAGTGGGGACAGTGGTGGGGACAGTGGGGACAGTGGTGGGAACAGTGGGACAGCTCAGTGGGACAGCGGCGGAGTCAGTGGGACAGTGGGGACAGTGGGGATAGTCGGGCAGTGGTTGGGGCCGTGGAGACAGTGGGGAGAGTGGAACCGTGGTGGGAACAGTGGTGGGGATAGTGGGGACAGTGCGACAGTGGTGGGGGCACTGGTGGGGACACAGTGGGGACAGTGGTGGTGAGGACAGTGGTGCTGGGAACAACAGTGGGGGATGTGATGCGGACGGTGGTAGGGACCGGGAGTCGTTTGCTGGCGGTGAGTGGGGGGGTGGGGAGGGGTTCGAACCGGTAGTGATCCCCCTCCGGTTTTCGAGGGGGGGGGGGTTCGAACCGTAGTGACCCCCCTGGTTTTCCGGATCCAGAGGGGGGGGGGGGGAAGGGTTCGAACCGGTAGTGACCCCCCCCGGTTTTCATAGGGGGAGGGGGGGGGGGGGGGGTAGGGGAGGGAGGGTTTTTGCCGGGGGAGAGGGGGGGGGGGGGGGAGGAGGGGGTTCCAGCAGGGACGGGGGGGGGATTTCGGAGAGGGGGGGGGGGGGGGCGACCCCCGGGGGGCTCCGGAGGAAAAGGTTGGCAATTTTCCACAGTAAAGCGGCGGTGGATCACGCTCTCTCCCATATGTGCATCTCATGTTTTATGTCACGCCACAGTGAGCGTCTGTTCATGCGCGTTTGACTATAATAGCGCGTCCACATGGGCGACCGCCTGAGACATCCCCACAAAATGGCCGCGACCGGGTCCGTGTCCTACCCCCTGGCGGCTCCTTTTAGGGGTGCTGAAACCAGCGCCCCGCCTGAGACATCCTCAAAATCTGCTTTGAAAG